GGAAAACGTGTTAGGATCGAGGGACAATTATGTAATTATATTAAATTAGGAAACTGATATTAACACTCTAAAAACTCATTATACACTCATCACAAATTTATTTTTTTAATTATAGAAAATTTGGGGATGCAAAATGAAATTTTTAGAGAGCCACCTAAATTATAGTAGCATTTATAGAATTGTTTTGGTTGACTTTTCAACTAGTAAGTGGTTTGTTGCTCGGTTGATTAAAAGCATTTGCCCTTACACCTGAGGTCCATGTTTGGATCTCTCCCCTAGTTTAGATGAGTTTGGTATAGATTATCCTATTGTTTTTCAAAAAAAAATAAAAACTAAAAATATGGTATTTAGCTAAAAGTTTTGTTAGAATTGGTAACTAAAAGATCTTAAATTATAGTTGTTCTATTTAATAGGTAAGCTTATCCACGGTTGCCTCCTGAAACTCAAACTTGTTCTCATTTTACCCTATAAGACTTACAATGTTTCACTTAATCCCTTAAAACTCGAATTATCCCTAACTTGGCATTCGTATCGTGTTTCTCGTGCTCATGTCGTTTTCGTGTCATACCCAATAGCTTAACGGGTCGTGTCATGTAATACCTGTTAAAGTAAACGGGTAATATGACCCGACCCGAAATCAACTTGTTAATATTATCAGGTAATATGACCCGACCCGTTACCTGTTAAGAAAAATATTTTTTAAATCAATAAAAATGAAAATGAAAAACATAAGTTGACCCAAAAAAAATATTTAAAACATAATACTAAATTAGTATATATATACTAAATTTCGGAGTTGACCCCTTCATAAAAGTTGTAAAGTTTTTCATTACGAGTGATTACATTTTTCACACTTCTACAATAATTATTATTAATTTTGCACTCAAATAAGAAACACTATTTGTCACATCCCGGCCCGGGGCGGAACCACTTTCCGGGCCCGCTCCACCACCGTAGCACGATATTGTCCGCTTTGGGCTTACCATTCCCTCACGGTTTTGTTTTTGGGAACTCACGAGCAACTTCCCAGTGGGTCACCCATCATGGGATTGCTCTAGCCCCCTTCTCGCTTAACTTCGGAGTTCCTACAGAACCCGAAGCCAGTGAGCTCCCAAAAGGTCTCGTGCTAGGTAAGGATGGGAATATACATTTAAGGATCACTCCCCTGGGCGATGTGGGATGTCACAATCCACCCCCCTTAGGGGCCCGACGTCCTCGTCGGCACACTCGCGACCAGGGTTAGGCTCTGATACCAAATTGTCACATCCCGGCCCGGGGCGGAACCACTTCCCGGGCCCGCTCCACCACCGTAGCACGATATTGTCCGCTTTGGGCTTACCATTCCCTCACGGTTTTGTTTTTGGGAACTCACGAGCAACTTCCCAGTGGGTCACCCATCATGGGATTGCTCTAGCCCCCTTCTCGCTTAACTTCGGAGTTCCTACGGAACCCGAAGCCAGTGAGCTCCCAAAAGGCCTTGTGCTAGGTAAGGATGGGAATATACATTTAAGGATCACTCCCCTGGGCGATGTGGGATGTCACACTATTCATGAGATTTGGAGGGTTTTAAAAATCTAAAAGACCATGTAACCATCATCTAAGCGTTGAGGATGCAATTATGAATGTTTATTATGCTTTTATCTTTCAAACTTATACATTAATGATTATGAATTTTGTTTATTTTGAACTCGCTTAAAAATACTATTCATGAGAGTTTGTATGGTTTTAAAAATTCAAACTATCATATACCCATCCTCAAAGCGTAAAGGATGTAACTACGAGCGTTTGCATATTTTTTCATAATTTTCGCATATGTAAATTAATTATTATAATTTTTGTAATGTGTTTGGTATTTTTAAATTACTTGATATTTTTATTTTTAATGTGTTTTATGATTTTTAATCTCAATCTTTGCCTATAATATACTATAAAAATAAATAAATAAATAAAACTTAAAGTTTTATAGAATAGTAATTAATAAACAATATATACATATTCATTATATCTATTGTATTTTATAGTAAGTTTTTTTTAGTAGTTTAAAAAATTAAAATCATGAAAATAATTTTTTTCTATCATGTCAAAACAGTTACCCACGTGTCACTCTCATGTAAACCTGTCGACTGTTAAAATAAAAACAAATAACTAAATAAAGGTTTCAAAATTAAAAATTAGATTAAGTAGGAATTCTTTGTGATTAACTTAGATTAATTAGGGTTGGCAAAACCCAACCCCATCCCTACCGTGTGCCTCCCTCACTCCCTTACGCCGCCACCTCCAACCTCTCTTCCCCCCTTCCTCTTCTCTCTCCCGTGGTCGCAGCCGACGACAATTAAAGGTCTATGGGGATTTTTGGGCTTTCCGGATACTACTGTTGCTTTGCGAAAAGTTTTGGTATAATTGCTGAACTGTTGACAGACTTGTTGAAAAAGAACGGTTTTTTAAGTGGAATGATGACGCTATAGTTTCAATTCAATTAATTCTTAACAAATTAGTATTTGCAATTTGTGAGGTCGTTCTAGCTATATACGAAATTCTTGATTAATAATAAGATAAAGTAATTTTTTGGGGGAACTCCATAAAATAGATTTATTGCATCGGGGATGCAGAATTTTAATAGGAGAAATTTTATTTGAACCCATGTAACATTTTTCTACATCAAATTTAAACTTTAAATATGAATTGTCTTTTTTATTCTATTGTATAATTATCATCAAGTACAAAATGAAATTAACAATAAAGCTAAAATTTATCAATAAATCCACACTCAATCATTAAACATTTACCATAAAGCAATCATTTTCGAACTTTCTATTTGGCTAACAACCTAAGACAAGAGCAAACTCTTTTTTACGAATAGATGGTAACTTTGAAGTTTTGAATCCTTCAACTAAGTTATGAATTGATTTATATAAACAAATGAACCATTGAAGTCTAGTGGGCCAAATAAGAAGTTTGATCATGCCCTATATTGTGTTGTAAATTTACTTGTCTAAAGATGTAGTTCGTTCCATATATAAACGAATGAACTCATTTTAACTAAGAGCTCGTTGTGGTCAGCAAAAAATGTGAAGCAAATGGATGGTTTCATTATGGATGATTCAATCTAGTAGCCTTATCGCAGTGGCACTAGATTCAAACCCCTAATTTCGGTTGCATTTCCACGACTTCTACATATATTCATTCGTCCTACCGTAGTAGGAGTTAAACCTACAAGAAACTAACTTGTCCAATAGCTATAATGACTCACAAGTTAAGTTGGGCTACACAATCTTTCTGTTTCATAGCCTTGAATTTCTTGTGCCCAAATTGCTCATAAAAGCATCAAAAAGCGAGCAAATAGGGTGTTATCAAGCTTTTCCAACATGGTAATTGCATAAAGGATGGCTTTATGCCATCCTCCTATAAACCTAAACGATAAATTAATATTGACTAATTATTATTAATTTCGATATCGATTTCTGTTAAATCATGAAGAATTAAAAGGGAAGACGACAGACCGGTCGGAAGGATAGAATGTCATACGAGAGAACATATGTTTTGATTTTGAGTTTTTTTTATAAATGGGTGTAAAAATAAATTTGCATATTGAATTGAGTTTGTGAAGGTAGTTTAGATAGTAAACTAGGGTTTAAAGAGATATTAACAACTTAATTGAAAATAAAATGGGTGTAGAGAGTAAGCTGGGTGTAAAAAGATATTATATGGGTTCAAATAAAATTATCCTTTTAACATCCAGTAGTCTTAATATAATTTTTTTTTTTTGGTTCCGGGGTACTTCGAACCTACATTCAAATCAAGACAAGTTTCAATTGGCCCAGACTTAAGAAAGTCTCTGAAGAAATGTATGGCGATGTGTGGTATATGCCAACGACAGAACTATGAAGTCACTAAACCACCGGGGCTCATTCAACCACTTCCAATTCCTTCTGACATTTGAAAAGATATTCCCATGGACTTTGTGGAAGATCTTCTAAAGGCACAAGGAGAAAACTCCCTGTTGGTGGTTGTGGATTGCTTGTCCAAATATGAGTATTTCATTCCTCTCACACATACATTCACAACCGCCAAGGTAGCTGAGATTGTTATCCTAGAAATTTATCACTTGCAGAGTATGCCTAAAACCATTGTAAGTGATTGTGATCTGGTATTCAGGAGTAATTTATGGACTTCTTTCTTTGTTGCACAAGGTACCAAATTATGCCATAGCTTAGCTTAGTAGCTTACCACCCCCAAACTGATAGGCAATCCGAAGTTCTTAACCACACAGTGGAGCACTACCTGCGTTGCTATGTGGCAGACAAACCATCTTCGTGGCTTTACTGGCTCCCATGGGCCGAATGGTGTTATCAGACCACTGTCCAGGGCACAATTCAAATGGTGCCTTATTAGGCGTTGTATGGGCATCCACCACCTTAAGTTCCCACTTAGGTAGGAGGTACAACTTTTGTTTATGCGGTTGATACCATTCTCAAAGATCCCTGTGGAGCCAAAAAATGATCCAAAAATTCAGAAGACTAAACACGGACCTTTTTCTCAATAAAGGCGAGGTTTCCCTCATTAAATGAGCAGGACTCTTATGTACTCCCACGCGCATCTCAGCATCCTTGAAGGTCCAAACAACTGACTACGACTGCTCAAGGATCCCTTGCTTGTGGCATGGAAAAGTTAAGGCATTAAATATATGATTAATTAAGAACAAAGTAGAACAATCTCACAAAGAGAAAGGCACAAAACTGAAACAGAGAAACACTCTGAGAGTTTTCATTAATCAAAAATGTCCAACTTCCATCTTACAGAAATAAATGGTTTTTAATACCATTTTGTAACTTACATTCAGAAATTGAAAGACAATATGACTAAATTGATATAAAACTGAATTAAAGTCACATAAACTGAAAATTACATAACTAAAGTAATGATATCAGCCATAAAACGTCCTGGAAGTAAACTGATCAGCCAATATGTATTAAACCGCCCTCTTTATTCCAGCACATAGAAGTAAACTGATCAGCCAATATATATTAAACCACCCTCTTTATTCCAGCCCATAATTTATCTTCCAATAATTTATGTGCTCCACTCGAAATGCATTTGCTCTTTTGAGTTATAATACTTTTATTTCATGTCCTCCATCGGTTATAATACAAATTATATTAAAGCCAACTAGTTGAACATCTCTCTTGTCTGCTAAATCTTATAATGGCATGATGTCTACTTGGCTTGATCTTTTGTTTGACTAATTTGCAGGCAGTTGCTTGATCTGGGCGTCGCGATTCAGACGACGAAGGGGCGAAGGGGCGAGGGCAATGATTTAATGGTCCTCCTTTCAAAACCGTCAAAGAATATTGGTGGTGTGTTTGAGTGGAACTCCGCCATAAGAGAATGTGTGAAGCAAAATCGTTCCCAGAAAGCCCTCCTCCTCTTTCGCCAAATGAAACAAAATGGTCTGGAAGCTGACAACTTCACCTTCCCCTTGCTTGCCAAAGCGTCTACCAATCTGTGCAGCCTCAGATCCTCCCAAATCATTCACTCCAATGTCCTCAAGTCGCCGTTCCGGTCCGATCTCTATGTGCAAACAGCAATGCTTGACATGTACGTCAAGTGCCAACAACTCACTGATGCCTGCCTTCTGTTCGACAGAATTCCCGTCAGAGACGTGGCTTCCTGGAACGTGATGGTTCTCGGTTTTGCGCAATCCGGGTTTCTTGATAAAGTGTTGGGTTTGTTCCGTGACATGAGGTTTGACGGAATTCTGCCGGATACTGTCACGGTTATGGGGTTGACTCGAGCAAGTTTGGATACGAAAAATTTGGCATTGGTGAAGTCCGTGCACGCGTTTGGGATTCGAATTGGGATAGATGGAGATGTGTCAATGGCCAACACTTGGATTTCTGCCTATGCCAAGTGCGAGGACTTGAGTTCCGCCATGGCTGTATTTAATGGGGTTGAGATTGGTGTGAGGACTGTTGTGTCTTGGAACTCATTGATAGCAGGATATGGAAGCTTAGAAAAGCTTGTCAATGCTCTAAGTTTTTACAAATGGATGTTGTGTGATGGATATAGGCCCGATACAAGCACTATCGTAAGCCTCCTTTCTTCGTGCATTCAGCCTGATAAACTGTTCCAAGGCGCACTCATTCATTGTCATGGAATTAAACTGGGCTGTGATTCTGATATTTTTGTTGTCAATGCCCTTATATCTATGTATTCCAGATGCGGTGATATTTTGTCTTCTCGATTTTTATTTGATGGCATGACTGATAGGACTTGTGTTTCATGGACTGCTATTATCAGTGGGTATGCTGAGAGTAGGGATTTGGACGAGGCGCTAAGGTTGTTTCATGCTATGGAAGTTGCTGGCGTGAAACCTGATGTGGTTACCGTCCTTTCACTGGTTTCAGGCTGCGGCCTAACAGGAGCACTTGAGCTTGGAAAATGGATTCATCAATATGCCTTTTCTAATGGGTTAAGAGACAATATAGTGGTCTGCAATGCATTAATAGACATGTATGCAAAATGTGGAAATATTATTAGTGCTCGAGAGCTCTTCAATGTCTTGCCAGTGAGAACTGTTGTTTCCTGGACAACAATGATCACAGGGTGTGCTTTGAATGGCGAGTACAAAGAAGCTCTGGACCTTTTCAGTCTGATGGTGGAGTTTGGATTGAAACCAAACCACATGACGTTTCTTGCCATTCTTCAAGCTTGCACTCATGCAGGGTTGCTTGAGAAAGGATTGGAGCTCTTTCACATGATGAGAGAAGTTTACAACATATATCCCGGGGTAGACCATTATTCCTGTATCGCTGACCTTCTTGGACGTAAAGGGAGGTTAAAAGAAGCAGTGGAGCTTGTTGAAAGTATGCCAGTGAAACCAGATGCTGGCATATGGAGTGCATTGCTTAGTGCTTGCAAGATTCATCACAACGTAGAGATGGGTGAATACGCTTGTGGTCGTCTATTTGAGTTGGAGCCCGACCTCAAGGGGGCAGTTCCATTCGTGGAGATGGCTAACATATATGCATCGAAGAGAAGGTGGGATGAAGTGGCTGCAGTAAGAAGAGCGATGAAGATTAACAAAGTGAAAAAATTTCCGGGACAAAGCCTTGTTCATGTAAATGGGAAGCCTCATGTGTTTACAGTCGAAGATCGGGGTCATCTTGACAGCTTACTTTTATATGCAACGTTAGATAGTTTGAGTTTGCAGTCGAAAGAAGAATACTGGCCATATTTGGAGGATTTTGTGACATGATCAATATTTGGATTGGTAATTTCTTGAATTATAATTGGTTATGAACTTGTCATACATGAGATTCGAACTTCTCTCTTACTAGTTAAAAAAAATGCTACTAGACCGTAGTACTAAATGACTAATTCCTCTTCCTTACAAAGCTAAAATGTGTAGATATTTATGCTCTTGCCCCACAATTCTCTCAAATTAAAGCCCAATTTTGATTCACAATTCAGCAATTAAAGACTTACCAAAGCACTTCAAATGGGCGAAATCTAGACGAAAGAGTTAAAAAAAGAACCTTTTGTTTGACAAAGAATTTTTTATTTTTAACATACGATATTATTTACAATGAGAGCATCTCCTATCACCACCGCCTTAGAGTATTCATTCAAGGACTTAGGTGCCCATCTCCAAACTCTAGCCCTATCCAGAATTATAGCCCGTCAAAATATTGTTTCAAATGAACAATATCATGCTATATTTATATATAATCTCCAACCTACAGGGGTTAAACATAGTCCCTTAATAGTTTATTATTGTTAAGTTTGTTCTTTAACTTATTGGTTACATATTTTTTAAGTTTCATGTTGGTGGTGTTGTGAACACGAAAGATTCCTGAAACACAAGAAACAAGAATACGTGTACAAAATAATATTTTTGTGTTTAATGATTTTGGGGTTACGATCTCTTTGTAATTTGATCCTCTGATTCTATCTTCGTAGGGTGTAGGTTTGTGGATGAATTGTTGATCCAAAGGGCCGTCGGGGCTTGATCTAAGGATGAAGGGGCGTTGGGCTTGATCTTGAAGAATGGGTGTATGGGTTTGTTGAGGTTGTTGATCCAAAGGGCCGTTGGGGCTTGATCTTAGGATGAACGGATGATGAATGATGAACACTTTCTTCAAGGGCCGTCGGGGCTTGATCTTGAATAATGGTTGTATGGATTTCTTCAAGGGCTTTTGGGCTTGATCTTGAAGGTTGATGGATGAGCGGATCTTCAAGGCTTTTGGGCTTAATCTTGAAGAACGATTGGATGTGTGAATTTGTTGAGGTTGTTGATCCAAAGGGCCGTTGGGGCTTGATCTTAGGATGAACGGATGATGAACAATGAACACTTTCTTCAAGGGCCGTCGGGGCTTGATCTTGAGTTGGTGGAAGTTCTTCAAGGGCCGTTGGGGCTTGATCTTGAAGGTTGATGGATGAGCGGATCTTCAAGGGCTTTTGGGCTTAATCTTGAAGAACGATTGGATGTGTGAATTTGTTGATGTTGTTGATCCAAAGGGCCGTTGGGGCTTGATCTTAGGATGAACGGATGATGAATGATGAACACTTTCTTCAAGGGGCCGTCGGGGCTTGATCTTGAGTTGGTGGGAGTTCTTCAAGGGCCGTTGGGGCTTGATCTTGAAGGAGGATTTGACGAAGAATGAAGAGTGCTTTCTCCATTCTTCGGGATTCTTGGGAATTTGGGGGTTGGATGCTTGAGACCTTTAGAGTTTCAAAGCTTCAAGGATTTTGGATGTGTGGGGAGTATTCTCTTCCATTTTGGGAGTAGAGAAATGTATTTGTGAATTGGTGTCTGTGTAGAGAAATGTATTTGTGAATTGGTCTTTTTTCTCTTGATGGAGAAGCCTATTTATAGGCTTTGAGAGTGAATCACCACCACAAAATTTTCTCACTTAATGCAATATTGAAATTGAAGTGGTCTAACAAATGGCCTAATTTTCCACTTAATGCAATATTGAAATTGAAGTGGTCTTCTTTATGGCCTAATTTCCCACTTAATACAATATTGAAATTGAAGTGGTCTAACAAATGGCCTAACTTTCCACTTAATGCAATATTGAAATTGAAGTGGTCTTATTTATGGCCTAATTTCCCACTTAATACAATTTTAAACTTGAAATGTGCTTGCTTTGTCATTGCCCAAATGAGAAAAACTTGCTTTGATCCGTAATGGATTGAAATGTGCTTACCTTGTCATTGCCCAAATTGAGAAGAAAAACTTGTTTAATCATCCAAGGGTATTTCTTCCTATTTTGTTGAGTCACATGCCATGTGTACAATTTGTACGACACGTGGCGTATGCCATGCATGCCCTGACACGTCAAAACTTTAATACGTTGGTGAACATTTGTTTCACCAAAATTTCGATGTCTACAGGTGTTACATATTTTATTAAATATTTAATACCATTAAGAGAGGGGTGTGTATGAAAAAAGTGCTTAAGGTGAAAAGAATGTCAAAAATTAGAATAAAATAAGGTAAGATAGTATGTAAGGGTGCCATAGGTATTTGTAGGAAAAAATAGAATTTTTAAATTTTGTTTGAAAAAGAAAAAAAAAATTTCCAACGGCTAGTTGACGTTAGCAAGTTGTTGCTGCTGCTGATGGTAGTGAGCTGGAGGTGGTAGGTTGGATCCCAACAAGCAGCTTGATTTTTTTGGGGGTTAAGGGGGGGGGGGTGTGGTGGAAGTAGTGTTCTAAAAATCAGCCTAGGCGCTGGGCGGTGGGCTTTCGTGGCGATTTTGGGCAAAACATTCAATAAAACGGAGAGGGTTTAAGTGGCCAACTAGGCGGCGCTAAGCGGCATGGTAGGCGATTCCTCGTCTCTCTGCTATGTGATTGTGCAAACTGCAACCCATAATCACTAGATGTCTCTCGTCATACTGCAAACCCATGACTTTCGTGCATGAAAACAGAGAAGTGCGGTGGTGGATAGAGGGAGATGTGTGGTGGAGAGATGAAGGGATTGAGGGAGATATGTGGTGGAAAGATGAAGGGATTGAGGGAGTTGTTTTAATTTGGAGGGATAGAGGGAGATATTTTCGATGTTTGATTTCTGTTTTTTCAGGAGAGAAGAAGATGGAGAGATAGAAGCGGAGGACTTCAATGTTTGATTTGTGGTTTTTCAGGAGAAAATAAGATGAGGGATAGAAACGGTGAAGACCACAAATCAAAGATACTTAGTTTGGCGTGAAAGAGAGAGTATGGGTAGCAAGGGAACTTCGAAAGTGTGGAAAAATGCATAGTTGGTGTGAAATCCACCAGCCTTATCATAAAATAAAAGGATAAAGAGTTAATTACAAAAAACTACCTCAAATATGGGTCAAATGACACTTTCATACCTCATCTTTTAAAATTGACAATGTCATACCTCATCTTACGAATTTGTGTTAATGTTATACCTTCCGTTGGCTTGGCCGTTTATTTCTCAGTTAAATGCTGACGTGGCTTGATCCGGGACCCATTTTTATTAAAAAATTAATAAAAAATTATTAAAAACAAAAAAAATTATTTAATATTATTTAAATATTAAAATAATAAAGAAAAATTATTAAAAAAAAAAAAAAAAAAAGAAAACCAACGTCGTCCTTTCCCCCCCCCCTCTCTCCCTTCTCCCCATCTGCAACTACAACCCAGAAAAACAAAAGAGAAAAAAAAAAAAAAAAAACCAATTTGTTTTCCTTGCTCCTCACCCCGTCTTCTCCCCACACCCACGCACCCAACCTCCCCACCTTCACACCCCACCCTCTGCACCCAACCTCGCACCCACTACCTACAACCCCAAAATAAAAAAACAAAAAAAAACCCAGAAAAAAAAACCCATTCTCCTGGGCGAGGAGAAAATGGGCGGCGGGGGCGCCCGGGGGGGGGGGTGTGGGTGGTGGGGGAATGAGTGTGGAGGGGAATGGGTGTGGAGGGGAGAGGGTGGGTGTAAGGGGGGCGAACTGGGTTGCTGCTGTTTGTTTGTTTTTTTTTTTTTCCTTCTCTCTTCTTCTTCTTCCCTCTTCTTCCCTTTTCTTCTTCTTCTTCTTCTTCTTCTTCTTCTTCTGCAGGGGGACGAACTAGGTTTCCAATTTTTTTTTTTTTTTTCTTCTCTCTTCTTCTGCTTCCCTCTTCTTCTTCTTCTTCTTCTTCTTCTTTTTCTTCTTCTGCGGGTTAGGTTGGGGGGGTGGGGTGGGGTTGGGTGGGAGGGGACGGGTTTGCTGCTTTTTTTTTTTTTTTTTTTTTTTCCTTCTCTCTTCTTCTTCTTCCCTCTTCTTCCTCTTCTTCTTCTTCTTCTTCTTCTTCTTCTTCTTCTTCTTCTGCAGGGGGACGAACTGGGTTTCCAATTGTTTTTTTTTCTTTTTTCTTCTCTCTTCTTCTGCTTCCCTCTTCTTCTTCTTCTGCGGGTTAGGTTTGGGGGGGGGGGGTGGGGTTGGGTGGGAGGGGACGGGTTTGCTGCTGTTTTTTTTTTTTTTTTTTTTTCCTTCTCTCTTCTTCTTCTTCTTCTTCTTCTGCAGGGGGACGAACTGGGTTTCCAATTGTTTTTTTATTTTTTTATTTTTATTTTTTTGTTTCCTTCTTCTTCCTCCTCCTTTCTAGGTTGCAGGGGGTTGAGTTTGTGGTGGGGGGAGGGGGGATGAACTGGGTTTGGTTTGGTTTGGGTTTTTTTTTTTTTTTTTTTTTTTTTTTTTTTTCTCTTCTTCTTCTTCTTCTTTCTCCTTCTTCTTTTCTGGGTTGCTGGGTTGCAGGAAGATGATGGGGAAGATGATGGGTTGCAGGAAGATGTTTTTTATTTTTTTATGTACTTTTTTATTATTATTTTAATATTTAAATAATATTAAATGATTTTTTTTGTTTTTAATAATTTTTTAATAAAAATGGGTCCCGGATCAAGCCACGTCAGCATTTAACCTGAGAAATAAACGGCCAAGCTAACGGAAGGTATAACATTGACACAAATTCGTAAGATGAGGTATGACATTGTCAATTTCAAAAGATGAGGTATGAAAGTGTCATTTGACCTATACTTGAGGTAGTTTTTTGTAATTAACTCAAGGATAAACAATAATTACCCACTATCCCTTAATAAATAAATTATATAAATTATTTAGATAATATTTTATTATTTGTTCTTTTTAAAACAAAATTACATTATACTATTGCATTATATTATTTTATTATTTTTCTTTTTAAGATAAGTGTGACATCCCACGTCGCCTAGGGGAATGATCCTTATATGTATATTCCTATCCCTACCTAGCACGAAGCTTTTTGGGAGCTCACTGGCTTCGGGTTCCATTGGAACTCC